GCGATCTTCAGAATCCCAACCAGAGTATCACCTTTAAAATATACGTTCATAGATATCAACGTATTCAGCGGTTAATGGATTCTTTCAGATTTCTGCCTAACCCTCATGTGCCTCTCAATGAATTTTGTAGGATATCCATTTTTATGTGATTATTCTAGTTTGTAGGGAAGTGAAATATTCTGTCAGTTTGTTTAGAAACAGGGTTACGATAGTCAATCAAGAAATCTCTCTGAAGGATTACGACTTACCACACATCGAGGTCAGCCAGTGACACTGATCTCCACACACCAAACTGAATACATATTTCTGAACATGGCACAATATTTCCAATCTCAACCTCGCTAAAGTTAGCTCACGAGACAGGGAATTAATCATAATAAGGTGAGAGAATGCATTTCATCCATGTCATATTCTTACAATTCATCATGATATCCCTAAAAATGAATATAATCTGTAATAATAGTCCCACTACTTATGACTGATCAGTAGTATGAACCCTTCCTCAAAAATCCACGCGAAGATGAAGGACCCCAAATGATAATTAAGCAATTTAAGAATATTAATTACTTGAATATTTAGTCAAATAGAGGTGCTTATTATAATTCTTGAAAGACTGATTAGTGAAGATTTATTACAAGGTTGGATGATATATCCAGGTCAAAAGAAGTGGTAATACTTTCATAGGAGAAAATTAGGGTTGTTATGTAGAGATACATATCTTAAGATGGGAAGACGGAGTATACCATTGGTAGAGTTTCCATCACACAGTCACCTTTATACTCAGCTGTATCGGTTTTCAAATGAAGACTGTGTATATCACTTCTCCATCTACTGTACAAAATTTAGTCAATCATTAGAGCTTCATAATGGAATTTGCTTCAGATTCAACCAATACTTGGGTAAGCCAAATAAGCTTTCCCCCGTGTGCAGTTAAGTTAGCAACGCAAGAGTAAACAGCAGACATCAAGGTTGAATGACAATGAATCAACCAATCGAATCTCCCAGCATTACAAATGGATTCTGTTCATAATCTTCGCTGCAAGTTTCACCCAAATATGATTTTGTCAAGTGACACAGGTGCAACATTTCAAAGGCACATCTGTGAGTGACACCATTCACGTTCAACTAGCTATCATACACTCAAGGTACCAATTCCAGTCTAGGGAGGGACGCGATGAGGTAGACCAATGTCTGCGACGAACCGCCACTCTCACCTGGGAGTCTAGTGTTGACAACTAATCACAACCCACCCATACAACTGTTGAGTGCACAAATCACACTACACTCATCTTATGTGAAGTTAATTTTGAATAATAATGATTGATGGTTGACTGGAGTGTGGTTTGACGAGGTAAACAATTGGTCAGTAGTCATCACATATTACACTGAACCGATGTTGATGATCATGACTGATCATTACGATAGTCTTGCATGGGTGTAATAGTAATAGAAACCTTTCCAGTTACTCATTTTAGTGATTATCACTTACTTATATTCTCCAGGACTATAAACTTTTCATATGTGAAGAAAGGCACATGACTGTTGATGTTACAAGTCAAGGTGTATGCTGGAGGGACTAGCGATATTTATCTTGACTTGTAATCTGTATGCAGACAGTAAGTAGTAATTGCAAAATGTGCCCTTGTATGTGTAGGATCTTCTTAGCACGGTCCCGCAAGTACTAAGAGTCGAACACAGTCATTGTTGGGTGAGGTCTGAGGGACTAGACCAACGCCTAGTCCAATTCCCCACACCCGCCGTTGGCCCGGTATCCTTCAATTAGTTATATGTCTAATAAGTCACTGGAACACAACTAAGTTGCAGGATATGGCCAACACGTTTCCCGCCTGAAGTCATGTCTCCTGATACACATTGGGATTCATTGTATTACTGAGTGTTACTCCACTCAAGAAGAAATCAAATGTTCATAAACAGTGAATCAGTACATGCGACATATTCTAGTGCAGGCTCTTTGACGGTATCTGACTATAATTATGCTACACAATGTGGATGTTCATTCTGTCTGTTACCATCTATATATGAGGTGAGTCAGTGAAACACGTACAAGATAATGTGCTAAGGGCACAGTTGCTGGTCGAAGTCAAGCATATCACCCCAAAGCAATGACGATGCATTCCTGCTCCCTTAGTTTCCGCCACGGCATGTGTAACCTGATTATCTTACCTTGCTTTATTAACCTTTATTACTTGTTTTGAATTCGGAGTGAAAGGAGAAGATATAGTGATACATCCACAGCACCTTTCTCGAATTCACTTCTGCTTTCGACTCTGTACCGAGATGTATCTTGCTAAATAAGCTCTCTATGACAAAAATGTGTCCTGGGTCACTAACTGGTTGCATTCCTACTTCTCTAACAGAATGCAGTACACTGTATACAAAGGTAAATCATCCTCTGCTGCGCTCACTGAAGCTGGTGTCCCCCAAGGCGCTGTACTCTCCCCACTTCTCTTTTCTTTCTTTCTACATGACTTACCATCTTCAAATGACATTAATTTTGTCAAATACGCTGACAACCTGACAGTATCTTTGCCTATCAAATGTCAAAGCGACTGCTCTAAACTTAATGGTTTTCTGTCAGAAATCAGCCAGTGGTCCAAGGAAAATGGTCTTACCCTAAACCCCTCCAAATGCCAAACGGTCAATTTCACCTTTAGGCATAAATCCGACCTAAACAAACTGTTTGGCTCTTACGAGGCATGCAACATAGACGGCACTGAAATAGAAACTAAGTCGGAAATTAAACACCTAGGTGTCATTCTATCTGCTGATCTCTCCTGGTCGTCTCATATCTTAGCAATTTCTAGGAAAATATTCCGTCTCACCTTCTACATTAAGAAGTTACAACATTCTGGTGTAACCTAACCCTTATTCCTACAGTTCGTTAACTCTTGCATTCTACCTATTATTCTCTATTGTTCCCCCTTAGTTTTTCCCGGGCTACTGAAGAAAGACTATAACATATTACGCAGGATGTTAAAAGTTGTCAGCAGGGTAAGCAACGTGCCACTTAGCCAGCTTGTTAATATTCTGGTTGACAGGCACATGGACTCACGTGAAAAATGGGCCAAATCCATTTTATCTAACTCACACCACCCCCTCCACTCACAACTCTCCCCTTGCATCTCATCAAGCAAAACCAGAATCCTATATAGAGAACTATATGCTCGCACCAGCAAGTACAAAAACTCAACCATACCCTACTTAGCTCGGGTTCTGTGTGATAAAGAAAGCATTAGGCGTGACACCTATAATTCATTAAATAGTCAGTAGTACAACTGGATCTCGTCTTTCCAACTCACATCATTTGTAGGTACAATATTTTCTTTCTCTCTTTTCTTTTTTTTTCCGTTATGTGCTGCTTTGTTTCTTTCTCTCGATTACGCCAGTAAATATGACAGCTCCCACTTTTCTAACACCTTCAAAAACTGTTCAGCTTTACCTTTGCTACCGATATTCCAATATGTTGTTGTCATAATGAACTGAGATTTCCTTAATCTATGTAGAATTCTATTTATTGATAATGTACTAACTGGATGCAATACTGTAGTAAAAATGCTGAGAATTCCATTCTGTATCACATGTACTGTTTTCGAATAAAGCAAATTATTATTATTAAATCAAAAATTGGTAGAAGTTTGAATTCATTAGCCATTGAATCGGGCCCCAGTGACTGAATGATATACGAGCTAGCCTTGTAACCGGAAGGTCCTGGGTTCGAATCACAATGGGTGGGTGCGTACTGCCGACGATTCCCAAACTAGGATGAAACAACTGTTCAGTACTCCCTGGTTTTCTATGCTTCTTTAACTGATATCAGTACGTGATCTACTCGTAAAAATTAACAAATGTTTGAAATATCTTCTTTTATCACATCCACTAAAGACTAAGCTGTGGAGGAGGATATTTTCACATGCACTGCAGTAATCGGGTCCCAGTGGCTTGATGGTCTACGAGTCACCTTGTAACCAACGGTAGGTCCTGGGTACCAACCCCGTGGGTGGGTGGGTACTGTCGAAGCGTCCAAAACTAGGAGGAAACAGCTGTCCACTACATCCAATGATCTAGTGGATAACGCTCCGGCGTTTGAAACCATGGGCACTCCGTTCGAGCCTCGATGGGAACACCATCAATTACTGGGGAATGCAGGTACATCTGGACGACAAGCTCCAAAAAGAAGGACGGAACGCTCATTCTCAATTCTACTGTTAGTCATTATTTACGGACTGACTTTAATTTGTATGAGCAGCCATCTTCGAAGTAACTGAACATGAAGGTAACATTTCTATGAGAGACGGAGGCGTTTTGTCGAAGCAATCAATGGAAGTCTTAATTTGAAAAGTCGTAATAACTTAACGGGTTGTTGTTTGATTTGTAGCTCTGTGATTTCATGCCTGCGTTCAAGTAAAGAGTAACCGACGGTCAATACTAAGATTGACTTTCACATGACAACTAGTGTGGACGATAGCCCATTCGCAAATATATTCAGACGACAATTTGTGGTGAATGGTAGACTATCTGGTTTTGTACTTAAGATGCCAAGTAACAGAGGTTGGCGATTGCTGATGACACAGTTCAAGACGATTTAAAATAGTGAGGATGTATGCACTTATTGTTGTTTGTTGTACTACTTTTTAAATTGTTGTGATTTGTACTTATATGCATCTGAGGAAAGTTCTACGTTGAACAGAAGAACACAAACTGCTTTTTCAAAAAGGAAGATTTTTATTTCTAAAAGAATAAAATGACGTGAAGCGAAAACGTTTAAATTAGTGTCATTCATTTTGTGATGAAGAAAAATAGAGTTAACTAAGAGTGAAAATGTCTTTCTAAAACAAAACTTCAATGTTTTTCACAAGCAGGGGACACAAACAGGAGCACAACAACACTTTACTCGAATTTTTAAAACTGTCAACATGATGACGGGTGAGAAATATGTGAAATATAGATGAAGAAAATGGAATAAACGCATTTAAAACTCATTATTCGAAAAGTTTACTCAACTCATTATAATTACAATTAGATATTGAAATTTGATAAACTTCATTGATCGACCTCATATACTATACACAGAAAGAAAAGAAAGAGAACAAAATGAGTTAACAATAAATTTTATTTACGAATACACAAGTGCTATAGGATAAATTTTTCTAGACACAACAGTTGTTCAGTGGTTGGAGGATATCGACAGACAGTCTGTCTGCGACCTAGATTGTTTTCTCGTCGGCACTCGTCAACAACATGCATGCATCTGATTTCTTCAAGGAATTCATCTCTCTACTAAGATTCAAACCAACTCCGCTCATCGCTGTATTCAGAGACGCTACCACTGAACCATTAGGTCTCGTGATTGGTCTCCTGTAGGACAGTAATGTATACTTTGATTGGACACTAGGTAGTAACCAATATCATCTGTCTAGACCTCAGTTTGCTGTAGACTGAACTCTATCAATCAAGTTTGCTCAGTGGTAATGTCTCCGACTGCAGCACTGAGCGATCTGGGTTCGAGTACCAGAAGGGACATGACTTCTTCAAAGATTGCCGATGTCTCGCCAACAAGCACGAAACCCACCCAAGTGTCCAAGGCTTCCTGCTGATTGCCCCTAACCATCCAACAACAATTCGAAGTGCACCGTGACGTTGACCCATAATGTCCACATTACAAACTTGACTGACTGGTAAAGTTCAGTTGGTACCAAACGAATAATTAGACGCATGCACTAGTTGCTGCCTAGTGTCTAACTAAAAGACACAAAAGTCTCACGGAAAGGCTATGATATAGAATCATTCACTACTGGTGATTTACATTTAGAAACCAAGTGTGTTCATTTTTTGTTCAAGAACAAACAAACTTAGTATCATATGAGCAGAAAGGTAACATTTAATGTAAGGGAATACAATTTTCCTGTGGAATCTACAAATGAATAAAATTGTGTTTAATGCAGCATGGAGACGAAAACCGTTCCACTTTTCCTCCTTCTTAGCTTTCTTTACTACTGATTCATTTCTCTCTCCCGTTTCAAGTACTTTTGTTACACCATTTAAAAATCATCTCACCTTCAATTTCCTACGACTGATCTGCACTTCTATGCATAATATTCCATATTCATTTTTCTATCATTTATACCAAGATCAACAAACTTAAGATAACACAAACTCATAGGAACAAACAGATATTGCAGATACTTATCTCATTTAATTGCTTATCATCATGTACTGCATGAGTCTTTAACATTCATTCCTTATCCCTAACAACTCTTTACAACCTCCACTGAGATAATTTCCATCTGCTTGACCCACTTCAATTCACCTTCAGATTATCGTGAAAATATTGAAGGTGAAGCAATAAGATAAATATGGTAAGTGTACCTACCTCCTTCTACATTAGCAGCTCAACTGGTAATTGTAAATAGAAGAAAGATTACGCAATTTGACTAGTGTATAAGCAGAATAATAACACTACTATATTCAATATTAGTTTATGGGAGTGCTGTGCTACGATTTCACTAACAGTCTTTAGGTAGGTGGCACAGCAGTTAACACTCTCGCCGCGGTTTCATCCTCGACGGACGTACACCTCGTATCAATAGTCGACCTGCAATATTTCGGCTACCGATATCACATGCTGAAAATTCGATACTTCTACCAAAACTACGGTGTCGAATCAAGCTATAATGAAAAGTTAACAATTAAATTAACAATTTATCAGTTGATTTTCTCAATTGACAAATTTATTTTCTTATTTGAAGAATACTTCTGGATATCGAGATCCTTACTGGTTACTACTTTATGGATGATCTTAATCTTCTCACCCAACCACTAAGTATCCTCCTACCAGGTCACACTTTATTTAGGCGTATTAATAACTTTCCACATTTAATTTATCTCATGTAATCAGAGTTAAATATTGAAACAACCGACACAGCTAATTATTCATTCTTCACATTTTTCTTGTTGATATTTTCACACAACATGGACATGGGGTTATTATCTGATAACAACACAGATATAGTCATAATCAAAACTGAAAATAAGAAACATTAAACAATTAAAATGAAAAGAAAAACTTACACATGTAAAAATTTCTAGTTCTTCTTTATACAGCATTCTCAGAAAGACAGGGTGAGCGAAATCTTCATTGAAAGACTCATTCGAATTTTCTAGTTCTCTTAACGTCTACAATATTTGAAATGATCACAATGATTAAGAATTTCATTAATCGATGTATCTCAAATAGTCTAGTCGTCAGAAAGAATTTAGTCGGACACAGCAACCTTGGAAGATATACGCGGCATATTTCCAGATTTTAGCTGAGACAAGCTTACACATATCTATGCTAAAAATCACTTTAGCTTGACTGATTCCTTTACTCAAATTTTGCATTTCTTAATTCTACAATCAATCGTAAGTCGAATTAATTCGATTTTCGCGTGTATCTTCAAAGTATACAGACAGTGTTGCGCCGCGATTCTATGTTAAGAAAATATTACCGTCAAACAACAGGAACTACATTGTAATGTTATGTGATGAGAAAACTGTTAGGCATGACACGATCACCTTACTGCGGCACTCTAACAAATAGTTTCCATTAGCTTTTGTTCTCCTTTCTTTGTTACTATTATATTGTTGCTCATATATTCTATTACAGACTGATTTTATATATCATGTCCTGTGCTGTATTGTTTAAATATGTGAACGCATTACTGTTCTTTTTTATTTCTTCTGTTTCTCTTTTTTTTCTTTTATTGTTGTTGCTTTTATTTTTAAATTCTTATAAAATTTATGAGGTAATTAGATGCAGTATTGTAATGAACGCTGAAAATTCCATACCTGTACCACAAGTACTGTTTGGAATAAAGCCATTATTATTATTATTATTATTTTTATAGACGGGAGTAATTTTCGCCTAACAATTCCCCTCTGAAGACTATATCAGGTAGCTCGATGCATACATGATACCTCGCAAATACTGAAGCGTTTATCTGTTTTAGAAAAAAAACTATATTCCCTGCCTGTCTCAGTTAATTTAGTGTGCTTCGATTTCTTTTCTTTCTTTGAGCTGTCAAGTTTCAGTAATGATGTTGTTTTCACTGCCTGAGTTTACTGGCCTCACACCTAACTTTACATCTTTTTCGGTCTTACTACCTGCTATGCAAAATCTAAGCGTCAGTCGGCTAGTAGTCAAACCAGAACCTCATGCGTAGCCTGAGTGCATTTATTTCACCATTGAACAACGAACACCGGTAATTCTGCCAGGAAAAGAAAGCAAGAGAAAACATGCTGAATAATTCTTCAACCAGTTCCCAAAGTTTTCGATTTAATAAATATGGACTGTTTATTATTCGGTGATTTATTACACAGAATCCTGTATCTGTATCCAGGATATTTCAAAAATAATCGAAATAAATTTAGAACTATTGCATGAGAGAAAAAGAAAAACTCTAGGTGGATATATTAAGTGAACCGGCTCTGTGCATGCAATGAATCGCATTCGATACAGTCAGTAGCACACACGCAAACACACACACACATACGCTTCCTTATACCACCAAAGTAGGCAATTAACCACTGAATCAACCGAAACTCATCAGAAGAAACATAAACTGTCAACTAGAAAATAAGCAACACCGTGGCAATAACTAAATCACTTGAAGGCGGCAACTGAACTCAACGACTTACCGAATACGCTTGAAATATCAAAAAGCAAAGAGAATGAGAAAACAAATGTAGAACTCACACAGCTTTATACTAAACTGTTTTAACACACACAAGTCTGTAAACTATCATGTAGTACATTTTCCATTATTTATTTGCCTTAGAAAATACACAAATGCATATTCATCAACACGAATTAATCGAAAGTAAAATCAGCCACATTAAACATAAAAGTAAATAAAAACTTGAAAGTGCATCATCTAGGATTAAAGAAGTTAACAATCGGGTACTGATAAACACACTTTAGTGTGAACTAAGCTTTTGAGAAAGAAATATTCAACTCTAAGCGTTTATCATCACTTGAATAAATGAACCAGTGTAGACAGTAGTCATTTTACAATCTATTTAGTTACAAAAATGATGTCCACATTAAACTTGAAATGGGGAAATAAATAGTAGGATTTTAAGAGAAAGACTACATTTCGCCATTCGTAAAACTTACTATGCAGTTCAGCTTATAGTTATCGATTACTTCGAAAACACTCAACTTGTAACTACATCACATCACAATTTACATGTATCCACCATCACATACACACACACACACGTACACATATAGCGAGGAGTAATGAATAGGTGAACACATACCGAAATGGCTTGATAAATAAGTGAATTATGAAACCTCTATGAACGCAGATGGCAGACCACCAAATTCACATTTCCAGTAAACACCTAGTTACAGTCAACTTTTCTTACGACCAGCTAGCGAACTAGGCTGAAGCCCAGTGTTACACACGGAACACAATGCAATAATAATAATAATAATAATAATAATAATAATATAGGAACTTGATTTATATGAACCACAAGATTGATATCAAAACAGCGGAGCATACTGAAATACGATGACGTGATGAGTATCCGTAAAACCAAGCCTCTTTTCAGCGTGTAAAAATACAATTTGATATTATTTATACTTATGTATGTATCTTTTGACTTATTACATTCAACCAACTCTGGTAATTTTCACCCGATTATACTACCAAGGGCCGTGGTAGTAATTAATATCCTCCCATATTCATCATTTTATCTATTAATTTGACATCCCGCTTTTGTCATAGCAACTGATTTAACAACTAAGTGTGATCATTTTGTCCAAAATATATTTCACAAATACATCACATTTTTCAGATAAACTCTGTCTTCCAATAACGTTAACAGGACTAACCGTTTTTCCAACTGTTGAACCAGGAAGAGTAAAAATCATTCGTATATGCGAAATATACAACAGTTCAACAAGACCGTAAAATGTACTATATACAGTTTGTAGACAACCCTACAGTCATGAATGTCATTAAATATAAAAAAGACAGTATTGCATAATCACAGGTGCAAGTGTCCAGGATCCAGAAACAGTGGAACTGTATGGAAATAGAAAAGTCCTTTCAACCTTAGTAAACTTGACAGGTAAACGAAATAATCCTCAAGGCAAGATTAAAGTTACACCAACGGATCTGTCTTTCCTCATTAAACAAAACAAACGCAATAAACAGTAAAAAGTCACAATCGCTATATACAATTACATGATATTGAGAAGCAGTTGACACAACCACTAAAAAGACTCACATTACGCTCAGTAGATACGTTGAACTCCTTCAATGGAATACGCTTTCTTATTCTGGGTGAAGCTTTAGATGACGACTGTGAGCTACTCGGGGATTTACCAGAATCTGAAATCTTAAGCGACTTGCTTGCATTAGATGCTCGAAGACGCTTAGCTATTGGCTTAAAAGTTGTAGAAAGAGTAACAGGAAAAAAAGAATTATTATTGCAACAACAGAAGGCAAGACACAAAAGCCGAGGTATATTTTTCATTAATCATCAAACCACTGTTTATATTCCTTAACCAATCACTGAGCCAGCGTGTGATTTCGGTTTACATGACATTGAACGACATGAAATAGAATGTTCAAATAGAGATATATTGTATTCTGTTGCTAACGCATTAGTGAACTGTGGGAATGTGAGAATAATATTCCATTGGCACACATTGTCTGAATCACACCAACACACTATGATTACAATTATAGAAAGGGGAAAAGCGTAGGGTAAATAACGTGTGAAAGTCACTGTCACACAATTAATCATTCATTGTATGTTGTTATAATCGTCGTAGTGAATGTGAAAATATCAGGAGGAGGGAGATTAAGGCGAACTTGACCATTTTTGACGAACAACTTAGAAGGTAAGAAAGACTTTCGATCAACAGTCAGAAAGCTAATTAAGAACACCACACACAGTTGAACTTAGAGGGGAAAATGAAAGGAACTGTGGCCGGCCGAATTGTTGGCGAAAATTGTATCCTTATTAAATAGCAAGTAAATAGCAAGTATTCACATTCTTATTTTATCTTCGTGTAAAAGAACCATGAAGGCAAGAAATCTTTTTTTTTCAATCTTCCAAATAAATACTTTCCACCGTTATTTTAAAATCTCTTCAAAAACAAAATACCTAACCTAGAGGAATACAAATAAGCATTTCGGTTCACTATTATTATTATTATTTCATTTTTATAAAGTTTATCAGATAAACTAACTGTTGGCGAATATTGGCAAAGTTCACTTTCAAACACTGCAATTTCTGATTTTTCTCTGCTTAATACAACACCACCAATAATAATGCTTAACACAGACATTTCCTAAACATCGAATCAAGAAATGCTGAATAACAATTTTCACACCAGCTATGATAAATGTGAAGCCTGTGGGAGAGAATTTTCTGCCGTAATCACGGTCATCCTAGATATTTCCAGGTTTTTCTTCGAAGGAACAATATCTGTTCTATCGGTGTACAACACATGGTCTTTGACATCGTTTTCAGCATATAATGAAAAGTAATATATTATTATTATTATTTCAACTCTATCATAATTATAAATGAGAGCGACCTTCAAATTAGGTCGTATTCACCACTAGTCTACTGTAAATAATCCCACTAACAGGCTAATATCCTACAGACTTTGAAATACACCATAGTATTTTACAACGATAGGTTAACGGGTGACTTGGATGACCTCTCTCTTTCTCTTTTCAATGCGTCAAAACACTCAGACTATAAATGATGTTAGAATTAGAGTACAGTAGCATTTAAAACTATATGTCAGTGTTTATGCACCCAACTTTGTATGTCAAGATACCACACAAGTGATACAAGTGGTAATAATACAATGAATGTATAAGAGGAAGTAGTGATACCACTACTCAGTATAAAATAGTACACCATCCTTGTTTCTCACGACTCGTATGATTTATCTTGTCATGGAGTTACTATGTGAATGTATCATTTCTCACACATATTGTCATCTAGCATGTGATCAATTCATCGTCTTTAGTCTCACCCTGATCTTTGTCGGATCACCAACCAATGAGAATAGCCATATCCAGACAATAAGAACAGTTCATTCTCACGGTTTTAGGCCGACTGTATTGTCATAAATTAAATATACAAATATTATGTTTTGTTTCCTAATAAATGTATATAATTAATACACTATCTTACAGTCACAGGCCACTCTTTGTCTTTTGATATTTGCATGGCTGGCTCAGTGAATCGGAAAGTACAAAGGACAAATATGCGTACGTATTAGAGTGTCAGTTGAGTTCATTACCGTTATAGTAATTAACAGGCGCAGACATCACAAAGTAGCAACGGATCTATTCAATTCAGTTCAGTTATAACAAAACGTCGACGGGTCAGTTCAGCCAAAACTTATAAGCTAACAGGGAAGGGGAGCAAGTTATTATGATTTTATGTCATTAACAGGTTATCATAAATATAGAAAATATATAGCACGAAATCCCAGATCAATATGGCACATCATCAAGCACAATGGGAATTCAGACAGACAACAGCTCCAGGATCGACAGTTTCGCATGAATCAAGACTACCAGTAGCTGACAGCAGTGTGGTCTACTCTGAATCCAGGTTCAAGTGGTAGAGGGAAGAAACCAAGTAGGACTACGGAAATAGTTGTGCCAGCTAGAACTTGGTTGTGATCTGCGCGAAGCTGCAGATCATGGTCTCCGCTGTCTGCTCACTTAAGATGATGCACTGCCGCCCATAGAGCACCTAGACGACTTTACTCTGAGTGCAGACGCCCGATTTATGTATTCAATTCACCAGCTAGCGAAGCGACTTCTACTCAACATGGATGATTGAGAAGGACGGAACGCTTATCCTTAATTCCACTGCTAGTCAGTCACCATCGAATAATTAACCTGTTAAGTTGTTAAAAAGGATGATTACATGAAGTTGCAGTATCTGATATAGTAAGTTAACATTGCTGCTGTACACCGAATAGCTCTGATGTCAGGTAACAACTTAGAATTAATGTGTTATGCATGGTGAGTTTGGATAATATCATATGGTTTGACAGGTATACTCGCTCACAGATGCATAAAACATACCTGATGGTCTTCGCCTGAGGAGTCGTCTTCTGAGAATGCTTTTGTAATCCGACGAAATTTTCTTTTCACTCCTTGTACAAACTAAAAACCCAAATAATAAAGAAATATTTGGCGACTGGCAATAAATAAACAACTACGAGTAATACTTGACACGATTGTATGCACTTAAAATACTGCAGAAACAGATAACGAAGCAAAATAACACAAACGATTCACTCAAAAGTAGTGCTGTTGATATACTGACACGTTTGTCAAACAATTCGATATCAAACACACACAGTGAACATTATCATTATTTCTTATCCAATGTTCTATGTTGTTGTATATTATTACAACAGCATTCTAAATAATTCTTTTCTTCTTCCGGGATGTTTTGAAATTTTTAAACTCTCAAAAAAAAATCCCTCATTCATAATCAAATTTCACCCCTATTTATTAAAACAAATTGAGAATTCCATGAACAGTATATATATGTGAAATACAACATTGTTATTAAAATATACCTCTTAAAAAATAAAATATTATATCACAGCATTACAGGGAATTATATGAGACGTTTTTACAGACAGTGTACACAATTAAACACTACTAATATTGAAGTGAAGTGCATATTATATACATTAAATATATTTTTATTAGAAATAGTATGATAAGAACAACCTACGAACCTTTGCCACAGAATTACACACGGTATTGACAACAGACACCGAGTCATTGGCTGTTGATGTCACTTCATTATTCATTTCAAAACAATTACTTGCTGCAAGAAAAATTGAAAAATAAAATTAGTAGTGCAGTATATATTATTATGATTAAACACTCAATGTTACAGTAATTACATTAAATTGAAAGGTCAAATTACCTGCAACATTCTCATCTTCTATGACAGAATGATAATGTGCAGCATCTGTGCTATCATCAGAAGCACATTTTACTTCAGGCAAGTCAGTTAATAGTTCGAGGAGAGAACCATCCACCTAAACCAGTGATGAATAAACAAGATGTTGTATAAGCGAACAGTATTTCCTTCCGATTACATCTCAATCAAGTTTCACTTTATTTGCATACAAAATTGGCTGCATCAAAATATGCGACACACAAAAATACTAAAACACAATGCATAGGAGAGAAGTAGCATGATTGAAAAACGGCAACAAGGAAACAAACAAGCACACCTATCGAGACGGTGTCACTTTCGTAAAGAGGAAATGAAGAAATTGCAGTATAGTCGGTACTGACTGCGGTTCCCAGCCATATCCCATAACGCCTCGAACCAGCGATTCGAATTATCTCTTGAATCGCTAACCCGGGAGTTGTGATGCGCCAACATATGCTGACGTAAAACAAGTATCCTTCATCCCACGTATTGTCATGGACTCACCACCCCTCCGCTTGTGTTACACAATCCTAGAAAAAGCGAGCAGTGACTATTCTCGAGCTACTAAGATGTCAGTCATAGCACATGTCACCAAAGGACAATCTCTCAAGATGACAACTCTTAATGAACAACAGTCTCCACACCACTGGAAGCCAGAATTACTAACATGGTGATGCGACCGGATGTAATCAGTTCTGCAGAGGCAGTGATATTCGAGCAAGCACAGTCCTCGCACATCCTCAGCTTGTAGAGGCCGACCAGGTTTCACAGAAATAAAGCGGAATAGGAGCGTCGAAGCATTGTAAACCTTACCTTTGACGACCAGACTAACTTTGTGACGCTCAGGTTAGTGTATACACCAGCTACAGATCTCATCTGTCACACCTCTACCAACAGCAGAAACGTATTAACCACTTTCAACGTTTAAACTGCAGATCGTCTAAACACCCTGAAATTATTTCAAGTTATTTTGAAATTTGAACAATTACTGTTGTGAGTCAGTGGCACAGCGGTAGAATGTTCGCCAACCACTCAGCTGGTTCGGGGTTCGATCCCCGGCGAAGCACTCTTTTACCTTACCAAACCAGTAATAAGACTGCTAAAGAGGAAAGGTTAAGCATGAGACTAGCAACCCTATCCCGTGAATATAAATACCAATGCTACTAAAACTTCAAGCCTCCACTTTGAAGGCCTATGTTCTACTGGGAGCATAAAGGAATTAAAAAAAGAGAAAATTGTTCTAAGAATGACACTGCTCACCTAATTACTAATAATAATAATATTTAAAATTTGGGTCATCAAAGCAAGGGGAAATATTGGCAAAGCAGCCAATAATTCAAACTAACCTGCATGTCTGACTCTGTGGGTTTCTCTAATACAACAACTGGCTCCGTCAATGAACAAGTGGTGTCACCACCACTGCATTCTAAAAATAAAACATATACATTCGACTGTAAGATTCCAGGAGTTTTTGATCGAAATAAAAACGACATTTGAAATACATACTTTATAGAAATCTAGGAGATGCAACTAAATTTATTTAAATCATGACTTATTCGAAAGGCGCAAATTCTTAATATGCATGACCATGGGCAACAAACTTGTGAAGGCTTATGTTAACCTACTTTAAAATAGGAGCAAAATTTACTTCACTTTGAAAACAAAAAGTGTGCTGTGTAAAGAAGTGTTCATACAACTGTTGGAACTACGAAAGTGGGTATGCACACAAAATTAGCAGATTGTACAAGAAAGAATTTTCCACTTAAGAAGATTATTGATATTGATTCCTTCAGTTTCTGGAAGAACATAGGGCTTCAGCTGGACATCTCAATTGCGTTCGGTTCTCTGCCAATCTTTTCACGCGGATCCACGTCTACCCACATGCTTTCATCTCCCCTTCGCACGATCTCCTCCATGTTACTCTCGCACTGACGACCAATTCACCGCTTTCCATTCGGGTTCCACTCAAGCGATGGCCTGGAGTGTGAGGTCACTCACTTCATGGTTTCCTCACAGTGTCGCCAATCAATCTCCACTTCTTCCTGCATATTTGCTGAGCGTTCAGTTCCTGGTTGATTCGTCCCCAGAGATCCATGTTGCTGATCTTCTATGGATGGCATGGCCATCTGATCTTGAGCGAAGACAGCTGTTCATGAAGGTCTGTAGTTTCTTCGAAGTGCCCGTTGTGATACGGCGCCAAATCTCTGATCCGTAGAAGAGCACTGACTTCACATTGGAGTTGAGAATCCCTACCTTATTTTTCATGCTAAGTGCTGTTCATCTACACACAGACATCAGAGTAATCAGAGCTTGCCTTGCTTTCCCGATCCTCGCTTTCATATCCTCGTTAGTTCCATCCACCTGCAGTTGAAACCATGCTTCCCAGGTAGGTGGGTAGGTAAAGGAGCTTGCTTCTTTCACATTCCTCTCATTTAGGCTGATTGTTATCTGTTGCTGTTGATGTTGTTGTTGACCAGGAATCTTCATCACCTCTGTCTTCTCAGTGTTCATCTGAAGGCCTAGCTTCTCTGGATGCTTCTTCCCGCAACTAGTTGCTTTCCACTTGCATATCTTCCAGTTCGTGGGAAATCAGACATATATCATCGGCGAAGTCCAGATCCTCCAAGTTTTCTGTGTAGGTGCATTTATGCCTGTCTCCTCGTTGCCCACCGTTGTTGGTCGCATTATCAAGTCTACCACAATCAGGAAAATCATTGCAGATAGTAGGCATCCAGCCAGCCAGCCTTGTCTTACTCCCGCCTTCACTTCCAAGGATTCCGTCAGTTTCCCGTTGTGGATTATTCGACATGCAGCATTATCCTACAACCGTTGGATTAGGTGTATAATTGTCAACGACACCCCGTAGTAGCGAAGTAGTTGCCAAATCACCCCTCGATCGACGCTGTCTGCTGAAGGCCTTCACAAAGTCGATGAAGTTGGGGTGGAGAGCTGACTAAGTGCCATTCCAAACTCTGTTCAATCATCATACGTAGTGTTGCAATTTGATCGATGCATGACTTGTTTCTTCTCAATCCAGTCTGTTCCCGTCAACTGTTTTCATCCACGGCTTGCTTGATTCTCTCCAGCATGATTCGGCTTAGTATTATGCATAATGCCACGCCAGTTCTTCCATTGACTATAGTTTCCTTTCTTCGGCAGTTCCAACAGGTAGCCTTTCTTCCAATCCGCAGCTACCTTGCCCTCTTTCCACTTCGTCTTCAGTAGTGGTGTCACCAAGTTCGCTGACGTCTCTCAGGCCATTTTCAATACTTCTATGGAGATCGCGTCTGGTCCCGCAGCTTTTCTAGATTTTACTACTTTTATGACCATCAGGATTTCCGCTTTCCTCGGACAGTTGGTAGTTCTTCTTCCGCTGTTCGTAATATTGGGCACGTTGTAGGTGACGGTCGATTAAGAAGTCTTTTGAAGTGTTCAGTCCAGTGTTTCCTTTGCTCCACCTCTTTGGTGATTGACTTTCCATTGTCATCTTTCACTGGCTTAATTTGTGTTGATCTCTCCCCCGATAGGAACCCAGTTGTTTGGTAGAGTGTTGCGAGGTCTCCTTTGCCTGCAGCTTGTTCTGCTTCACTTGCCGTAGCCGCATAATATTTACTTTTGTCTTCCCTGGCACTCTTCTTTACTCCTTTGTTCAGTGTATTGTAGCTTGCATTCAACTCCTGTTTTTGTTGCTCGTCGACGCAACAACTGCGCAATCTTTTGTTTCACCATCCTTCTCTCTTCTACTAGTCGCCACGTGGCTGTGGTGAGCCACTCTTTATCCTATCTCTTCTCTCTGCCTAGAACTTCCAGCCAGGTTTGGCTCCACACCGATTTCAGCTTGTTCCAGTGTTTTTCAACGCTGGTCTCTGTGCTAGTGCTGATTTGTGTCTCTGTCTTTTTCCCTATGATTGCGGTGAAGATGTCCTTTGTGGTCTGATCATTCAGCTTGTGAGTATTGAACTTGGCTTGTGGTCTATCTGAACCTCATGTTTCTTTGAAAGTTTCTAATGTGATTTGGAGTGTTCCTTGTACGAGATAGTGATCAAAGGCAACGTCTTCGCCTCTTCTTAATTTGTTTACAGGGTGAGGCTGCTAGCCTCACGCCTGAGAAGATGGTGCTTACATGTATATGTAGTTTCGCGGAGGAGAGACTTCATGGGTTGCTCCCCTTAGAATCAGGAAAAAAAGTAAGCAGAACAACACCAGCGAAAGGAGAAAAATCACAACAGGAAGGGAGCAATGACAACGCCAACAAAAGAAAACCGTGACAATAGTATCACTGTCAAGAACAGTTAATAAAAATTGTAACACAACCATAGACTCACTGACTTGGGTATGTATATTCAACAAAATATACAATTATTGATATTAGCTAAAGTTCAACAGTCACAATATACAAAACAGTTAGTTATGCGTATTGTAAAAACTGAATTTCACTCGACCAAGCAGCAACACAATAAATGACTAAAACTAATGCAGCTCAGTTATCAAACGTAGATTTTCAGTGTGAAAGAATGTGAATCACACTACATGATGAATAGGGTTTCTAATAACAATAACAGGCGATACTCCACTCCATAGTGAGGTAGGTAAACCAGGGTATTTTAACTCCCGGTTTAGTTTTGTTATCTTTCACAATAGCACAGATGTATAGTAAATCATAAATATAAGATGGATAACAAAGTAATAAAGAACACACTGATGAGCAGAGTATACAGCGTAACAAGATGCTCAATTATCACAGAATGCTGCTGCAATAAACTAAATGGAAACGTGCTACTGTGTCTGATATTCGATTGTACTGAAAGGCGTCAACACATATACATATCTTTAATTCCTACGGATTCATTTGAAAACAAGAATGAAGACTGAATACTGGGAGATTCAATTAGACATTGTGCTTTGGCTGTAGAGAAAATTATTGGCGCTTTTTTATCTACGGGAACTGGGTTCCCATGTTTCTCGGTAAGTGGATAATGCGATATATGGGATAATATTCACACAGGACGCAAGTATTGGGAAAGCATAACAAAAATATATATATATACATATATAATACGGCTGTAGCATTTCAACCAGCACTTCATTTCAAGATGGAATTCCGCTTTAGAAGATGAGAAAAATGGACAAAATAAGGTGATAAATAATCGAGTAAAACTCTTTAAACATCAATGTAGTTAACAAAGAGAAATGGCACTTACTAAAGCTCACTGAATCGTAATTACCGCACATGTATAGTCTGGGAGAAACACATAAACCTAACATCGCTATTCGTTCGATAATGTCAGTGTGCAGATCTCGGACCCACAAATTTGCAAAGTGGCTAGTCGCAATATTAGAGCTTCTTAGAAGCTTCTGTAAGTTTCCATTTAGAGATACTTATGAGTTAAGTGTCTTCATGACGTTGATATACATGATAACACCATGTTTTTCTTAGACGTTGATTCTTTATTCGCAAGTACACGTCTGTTACAGGCGGTTCACACTTTATGTGACTGTATCTCTAACAAGAATTTTCTATTACCTGTATCTATATCTCATTTAAAACAGTTACTGACTTCATGTACTAACAATGTTAAGTTTACATATGACGCGAGCATTTTTGCTAGATGGATGGTGTTGCTATAGGAAGCTCCCTAGGTTCATTGTTTTACATGTCGCACGTTGAGAACCTAGTGGACGACGTAATTGGAAAAGTTCATTTTTATAAGAAATACGTGGATGACATAATAGTCATCTGTGATTAACCGACAGATTCAATAGAAATCCTTAAACAGATCAATACAGCACAAGACAGCATGTCGTTAACATGTGTAAAAGATTGCTTACCATTTTTACATGTACTGATAACCCACCGACAAGATGGGTCAATAAAACGATCTATCTCATAAAGTCGACATGGACTGTACATTATCCTAATTAACATAGTATCTATCCACTATAGTATAAAAAGGTGTTCGTTAACTGCTTGTTTAGATACATTCACCATATATGTACAGCCAACACCATTGGAGAAACACAACACCTCACCGAAATATTCTTAGATAACAACCATCCGTTAATATTCATTGTGTTACAGAATTGTCAAACAAAGACCTCTACTGATCCAGTCAGTTTCCTCCCAAATAGGATGTTTACATATTCTTGCCGTGCACGGATGATCAAAACAGTCTGATCACTAAACAAAGAGTGAAGGCGGCAATTAATAAAACCTACTATCAGCTTAACTTATCTTCATAGAGAAAACCAGATCTATGCTGTCCTGTAAACCCCCGCACGATACTGTCACATACCATTGTGCATACCAATTTACACGTTGTGTCAACACATGTTCACATAGAGGACCCATCGGTCTTTGAAGGTTAGGACTACGGAACATATTCCAAAGTGGTGGTTACAACAATAAGTAAGATCATCAGATACAACTGATCCCGGAGATGCATGTCCAGCATCATCTATAGCGAAGCATATAATAGAGACTTGTCACACGGTT